TATCAGCAAGAAGATGTTCTCATAACTCAAAAGTGGTTGTGAGTTATGTCTGTATATATTTTTTCGCTCTCTGTGGGTAAGAGAGTTGATCTTAAACGTGTGAAGTTGTCCGTTGCAGAATCTGATCAACCCAAAAGTCAAAAGGCTAAAGAAATGACACTGAAAATTATGACATCCATGTGAACTTGAAAGTCAAATTGAGAATGCAACAACAGTAGCTAGGCCCGGTTCACAAAAACATATAGCACTTAATCCCCCCAAGCAGCGATATGTGCACTTCTGTTTCACACACAGTTTTTTAGCAAGATTCTTGAGATTATAAAACAACGATGTGGACTAGACTGCAGTAGAAAGTGCAAGAACAGTAAAGGAGTGAAGGTGACTTTTCTACATCCGTCTCATTTTACTCTGTCTGCTAAACGTGAATTGCAAGACAAAGAATTTAAAAAATGTTTTTAAAAAAAATCATAAAAGTGTCAGAGACAACAAAAAAAAAGATTTCAATTAAAATCACAGACATTTGTAGACACAGATATGAAGAAAATATCAATAAAAGCAGGTGAAACAACAGTCCTCTTTAGAATCAGAGCAAACTGACCTCAAAACACATCACTATGCACGTTATGAAAAAGTCTTGAATCTTTCCTAAATTATGTTTGTTGTGCTTTCAAATTCAAATTTCTAGTCATACTTTAAAACTGCTCTTAATATTTCTTCAAGCTCCCTAAATGTGTTTCCAAGTTTTCTTTTAGACTTCAGCTGCTTTTTAGCCACTTTCTTTTCAGTACCTAACCATTTTCAGGAAGCTATTTAATTGGCTTGGTAAGGTACTTAACTCAGACTTATGAATTATTCAGACATAAAACGTTTCTAAACTAGATGAATAAATTGACGTTATGTCTAGAAATACCAGACTCAGACACTAAAATGCCCTGTTACCTTTTTTAAAGTGGAAATATAAGAATATAAGTGTGGTGTACGATGGCTTTTAGCCCTTAAGTTCAACAGACATACACTTTATTAATCTGATCTTTATGGAAAAGTGGAAAGGAGAAAGTCATCAGAAGAAGATCCATTTGCAGTTTGTCATAAGCCAAGAATGCATTTGGTGCAACAGAGAAAAATTGAAGTTTCTGAACATTTGATCCACTTATTTGGAAAGCCTAAAACAGTAATAGATGTATGGCTCTTCAATCATAAGATAAAATGTTAAATGGTAGGTACCTTAATGACTTGAAAACTCATCTTCATTTTGTGGATGGAGACAAATTTGATTTAAAAAGAGCAAAAATGGACCTCTGTGATGTAAAGGTAAATGCTTCCCAGCTAGTCTGACTCGGCTGAGGAATGAAGAATAAGACAATACTTTCCTAGATGCGTTTTCAGACTGATCTGTTCACAGTGAAATGGAAATGTAGCTCCACTGGTGGACAAATATCCACCAGTACATACATGTAAGAAAACCTGGAATTGTTCTTTCACTTTGCAATGAACCACTAACGTGTTCGAAAACAGCCAGATAAGTTGAAGTTTGTGACTGCAACATGTGCGAAAGTGGAGGACGTTCAAGCTCCACGAATACTTTTGCAAGGCACGGCGTCACTCAGCTGAAAACTGAATGACGCATATTCCATCTCTCAGGTCCAATGTCAGGCGTCCGCTTCACTGTTTGTATATTTCTCACTGTCAGTACTTTTCCCCCTAGTGTTTTAGACACACTCCACAACTAACTCCTTTCCATACGTTTTTTTATATTAAAATTGCTAGAAAAAAAAAAAGAAAAGCTAAATGTTTAATCAATACATCATATCTTTGAGAAAAAGCTGCTCTGCTGGGTTCATTCCTGCCTCTGCCTCACACAGACACTCTACATCTATTAGTCTGCATTAACCCAGAAGCAGCCATCTATAATTTAAGTCACATCAAACTAATATATGGGGCTCAAATAGCTCAGTTTGTTAGCAGATGGGCTGAGACCCAGACAAAACACTTCAGGGGCTGGATGTGTCGCCGTGGGAGGGAGAAAATACTTGTATCTGACAGCCAAACACTGATACACTCTGGCGGTGGTGCTGCGGGCTGAGAGGATGGCGTGTGTCACCCACCTTGGCATAGTGTTAAAAAAAGAAAAAAAAAAGCTGTACTTTTGGCTAATTTGTGTTAATTCTTGAGAGAATTTTGACATAAAATTGATCAAAAAGACAGCAAAGAGTGGCCTCTGCTCACCATAGCCTCGTTTATGGAAGAAGCTTGTAAAGTGACTGAGTTTTAAGGGCATGATTTGACATGTAGAAAGGCAGCACATTAAAAAGCACAGGGGGGAGATATGTGATAATTAAAAGACATCCGCACAGAGACTTACAGGGGAACACCATGCACCTGCTTTAAGACTCCACAAAACAAAAAGCAGTGAGAAATGCGTCCAGTCACTGTCCATTGTGTACAAGCACAGCATGCATTTACTTTATTTCTAATATTGCCTTCTAATAAAATAGAAGGCAAAACTGGACGTTTCCCACTTAAAAACCAATTGATTTAAAAAAAAAAAACAGAGATAAACAAATTACCAGTTCGCTCAAACATTGCACCATCGTCACAAGTATGATCACGCTTGTGATAGACGTCGCTTACTTAAAGCTCCCTCACATTACCGCTCATCCAAAGAAAATAGTCAAACTCCGATTTATTCGTCGTCATATTTCCAAGTTTGCTTTTGTTCTGGAGTTCAACCTGTATAACATGCATTGAACCAACGAAGCTGTGTTGGAGCTCACCGGAACACCAACACAGACTTTGGAAAACAGAATCTACAGGGTGATCTTTCAGTCAAGCTCTAGTAGAACCAGTCGTTAGTCTACTCTTAAGAGTAGGCCTAAATTTTTTCTTTTTTTTGGTGATGCGTAAAGTTAAGTGGCTTAAGTTATCTTCCCCTAACTCTATAGATCAGCAGTGATGGGCTTAGGCTACTAGGAGACTTTCTGACCAACTTTCTTCCCTCTGCTGTCTTTACTCTCTCTCCACTTATGGGTTATTCACACTTGATGCTGCACATTAACTTCTTATAAACTCTTTATTTTTCTTTTCAGTAGAAATGACTCCTACTCCAGTGATTCATTGCTTAGCCATTTTGGAGTGTTGAACAAAACCTTTGCAGCTGTTGTGACCATTAATTACTTGAATCATGCGTGTAGTTTTCCTTCCAGTAGAAAGTATTCCCACCCCAGTGCTTCTGCATCTCTTTCCTGGATGGAGTCATTGACAGAGCTGTTGATTACTCTACTTGCATTCCTTATGTTTCTCCTTCCATCCGTAGCCCAATGCTGTCTTTGTATGTCTTTCTTTCTGAGTGTTTTTACTGGAAGGAGCTTTTGATGGCACTATTGATACCATTAACCTTGAGTTAGATTGTTGTGCATGTAGAACTTACTTCTGGTTTATCCATGGTTGAATCCTTTAACATAGTTTTTATTGCCATTATCTACTTATTATTATCCACATTTCTTTTTCCTTCCTATTAAAAATATGGAGGTACGCTTCATTACGTTTCTTTTTTGTCTCCTTCTTTTCCTCTCAAGTTGGTTGAGGTGATGGTTCCTCAATTAGAGCCTGTTCATCTGGAGGTTTCTCTCTCTTAAAGGGGAACCGTTTCTTTCCACTGTCCCCATGTGCTTACTCAGGTTGAGGCAGGACACAGATGTGAAGATTCAATTACCTTGTTTTCTCTAGTTTTGGAAGATCAGCGGTCAGCCGATACTTGCAAGAGAAATCATTTTCATCCACTGGTCTTATCTACCTCTGAAAACTTCTGAAAAATCAGCTTTTTGCTCTCCCATGACAGAGGACTGACTCACAGACCACAGCACCAGGTCACATCTAAATGTTCGTCACCCCACTGTTGCGTACTCAATGACTTTATCACTATATTTACCGACTTTTCAGAACAAAAAAAAAAAAAAAAAGTATTGTCCAAAATTGGAAGGGGCTGGTGATCGGCCAGAAAGCAGCAATCGGTGCACCCGTACTTTTTACCAACTGTAAGGGTACCTTACAATCGGATGAAACTAACAGATCTGAAATTAAATCTGAATTTCAATCTGATGGTACTGGAATGCATTGGAATATGTATTTTGTCTTTTGAAAAAGCCTTAAAATTAACTTTGTTGTCAATTGGTGCTCTACAGATACACTAAGCTTAACTGAAGGTGTTCGTTTAAAAAAAAAAAAAACTACCAAGGGATATAAAGCTTGTAAGAACAACTTCATTTCCACTGTTTAAGTTCCTTATTTGACCTCTCTTTAGTTTTCAAATTAAATACGATGCTCACAGACAGTGCTGTGTGCTTCAGAGTGCTGGAGAGAGTAAAACACGAATCAATAAGCCAGCATCAGACCTGGCTCTGGCGTGTGAATTTTAGCTTCTGCAAGCTCAGCTTCCTTACAGATAAACCAATGTGACCCTCGTTTGATTCATACTCTTTCGCTAAAGTAAAAACGATTATGCATCACACTGGACAAAAGCCCGTTGTTGTTGATGTTGTTGTTGTACCTTCTGGAAACAAAAGCTGTCACAAATCTGACAGCGTACATAAATTAGCAAAATAACAACACTGGGCTTTGGCTTGTGCTGTGCACTTAAATGCAACGAATAAGCACCTAAATTTAAAGTTATTTCCACAACAATGCGCGTCAAAATGACAGCCACGGTATTACAGTCAATACAACAGTGTGAGGCTTTGTTTAAAACGTCTTGTAGCAGACCACCTAGCGCCTTGTAGCTAACGCGGTTTGACGTTTTGACGGCTGGACAGATGCACATTAATGTCAATAAAAGGTTTCTAACTCGCCATGCTAGCTCGTCCATCTGATATCTTTAACCTTGTGTTGACAAACGCTTGTTGTGTGGGGTCAATAAATTACTTCCATCTGAGGTTAACAACACCGTTATTTGTCATTGTGTGAGCAGCCAGCTAAAAACATAACGGACCCTGGGAATCACTCACCTTCCTCGGCGGCGGCTGCATGTTGGAGATTTGACATGAATGGTATTTCCCTTGTGAGATGTACTGTAATTCCTGGAGGAAATCCAAATCCGTGTGGGGCCAACAATAATCTTTCGTCTTCTTCAAACAGAAATCCCCCCTACTCCTGTTAAAAGTCGATAGGGAGGAGAAGACGGAGAGTTAAATCTGTACTCCGGCGGCCATGATTGATGATAAATGGCCAGTTTTATTGAGAGCCTAAGCTACGAGGAGGCACTGCACACGCTTGTGCTGGTTGCTGCCACTACGAGAGTGTACTGTACTGTTGTAGGCAGCAAAGAAAGAAAGAGCAGAGGGAAGGAGAGAGTGTTATCAGCAAATTAAGCTCAACGGCGCCACCATGTGGACACCAGTGGTATCTGTTTAGTAGAGGAAAAAAAACAACACCACCAAGAGCAACACAGCACAATTTTTTTTGTTTCTCCACCAGCGTGACCTCGATTAACGCGCCCGCAGATATTTTTGAATGCAAACATGAAGACTAGATGACTGATGGAGATACTGACTCCATCAGTCAATTTATGTCGGGGTTATCCACCAAAAGCATATTTATTTTTCCCTCCCTAACGTCTACCAGCATGAGTAAGAAGAAAAGGCAAGAGACGGAGCTGCATAGCAACAAGAAACCGCAGTCGATCGAGGAAAAATCGATCGTTTTTAAATGCACAATGAAAAGGGCTCTCATCTCTTAATAATATAATATAATATAATATAATATAATATAATATAATATAATTCTCTAATCAGGACGAAGCTTTAAACTAGACTCAACAAGGTCACTACGACGTTTTCCAATTTTAATCTTTTTTTTTTTTTTCAAAATAAACATAACCCAGATTTTAGGCAGTGTAACAGAGAGAAAAGCTTGTGTGTTTCTTTGTGTGAGTTTTGATCAAAATGATTGTAATGACGGCTGAAGAGATACAGCAGCAGATTCCTGCTAAAGATTTTGTGTTGTAATTTAACAGAAAATGTAAACCGAGTAAGACTTCCTCAACCAAAGGTGTAAAAATCTTTGTTGCTCACCTAATCAACTCTTTCTTATAACTGCTGACCAGGTTTGTGTTTGTTTTCACTGGTCTGAGCCATTTATCCTGAGTCATGAGCTCCAAATCGTGTGTGTGTGTGTGTGTGTGTGTGTGTGTGTGTGTGTGTGTGTGTGTGTGTGTGTGTGTGTGTGTGTGTAGTTTTTTTTTTACTTTTTTTTTTTTACTTTTTTTTGTCTTGAGTGTTTCTGTGCTGCCCTGTGATGGACTGGCAACCTGTCCATCGTTCAACATGTCTTTCACCCAATGACTGCTAGAACCCCCTTTCAGCTCTGCAAAGATAAGCAGTACAAAGAAAACAGATGAATGGATGGATAGCACTAAACACACCTTTTAAAAAACTAGTTAACATCTATTTGTAAGGTAACAAAAATGTCCCTGCATGGATTGTTGTTGCTAATTTCAAAAGCAATAAAACAAATCTAAAACAACAACAAAATAAAGCTAAATAACATTTAAGTGTAAATTGTCTTTTCTAATCTCAATAGTTATGAATATAATGCCTCAGAACAGTTTAAACTACTCCTCCCATCCCACCATGTTTTCTCCCCAGAAAAATTTAACCAAATGGTCCAAGCTGTTCAAGCTTAATACGTGTTAGCAATCATGGGAAAAAAACTTCCTTTTTACTAATTTGATTCTGAAAGTTTCCACCTCTCCCAAAGCGGATTATCTTAATTTCAAGGTTTTCAGAGCAAATGTGTTTAAAGAATTCTCATAAAGCCATTATCAAGTTATTTGGCCTGCTAGTATGACTCCAGTCGTATGGTAATGTTGGCTAACAGAGTAAAAGGCAAGGTGTATGCCCTCTACAGTGACATACATGTAAGGTTAAGGAACAGTAAATGATTAATGCGCAGAGTTTCTAAAAGCAGGTAAGACATTAAGCGCCTCTTCTCACCTTCCTTTTCAATATTAACACCTCACATACACCCACATGAGGCTATTCATTGAAGCCAAACTCTTCTACAGTTAGTGCTCAAGGCAGGAAGGAAAATGGATGACATTCATTTCTGGATGATATTGTATTTTGAGAGGACGCCGAGACAATTATTTTGATGTATGGTTTGTTTTCTTTTGGCCGAATTAAGGTAAGAAAGCAGATGCTACACACTATATTCTAGACACGGTGTCTCCTACGTTGAAGCTTGTTTGATTTCCAGTGAATAAAGCAATCCCAAGAAACATTTTCATATCTTGCACCACATCAAGGGGAGACAAACTCTTGCTGGAATACACAGTGCACCTTGGGGATGAGCACACCGTGTTACATCAGCTGGCTGGCCTATACTGTTCTTTTTTTTTTTTGTTTGTTTCTCTTCTCCTGGTTTGCCTACCAAAGACTTATCAGTTTTATAAAAGTTTAAATAGAAATATGGTTTTGTGTTGGTGAACGTGTTTTGATATTTGACAGCAGCATAACTTTGGAGGTCCTGTGTGGGCAATATTAGTATTGTTTTGCTTCAGACGATTGAGATCAGGAATGATAATATTTTTACCATCAGGAGAAAAACAGTGGTTTGGGCTCTAGTTCCTCCATTTCTCTGTAATAGTAGTAGTTTAGTTATAACGTGGGAGAGTTGTGTCAATGGGGTTTTCAAGTGTACACAAAAAGAAGACAGAATGCAATTTCTATGTAATAAATCTGCAGTAGTCATAATAAAAGTAAAAATCCTTTATAAATACAGCTCAAAAGCAAATAAATGTGTGTTTGGTTGATTTTATCTTTGATGTAACAGTACTTTTTACTGTTGAAAAGCTTGTTTAAGTCCTCTTAAACAGTGTCTTATTAATAACAAAAATGCATTGAATATGTGGGTTGTATTAATGAAAAACTGACAAATATCAAACAGCTTTTGGTGGAGGCAGTGTGATGATGATAGACAAGTCTCTTCATCAGAACACTCTCTTGGAAATTAGATTGGTTTAATCCCAGCAAATTCATAGCAAAGAAGTGTTTGTGTCTATAACTGCTTCTTTATTATTCTATTCATAAAAGTCATAATTTAAACAGTCATGTTTTATTTATAGATTTTTAAAGAGAAATACACACACACACACGCACACACACACACACACACACACACACACACACACACACACACACACACACACACACACACACACACACAAAACAATAACACTAACGTGCCAAAACTGTTCTAACAAAGAAGCAAAACATAAAACATTCCCATATAGATTACTTAATTGACAAAAATGAAGACAAATGTCCATATATTCAAGTTCTAGAAATTGCCATATATATATATATATATATATATCCATGTTTTTTCCCCCATGTGTCTTGGCAGAATAAACAATTAATTTGACTTTGAATTTGATATATTTTTGAAATGTTATGCATGTAAGATCAAAGATTTGGACAGTTTAAGGCTGTAAATGGGAGAAATAGTATCCGAGCCCTCAGGGCAAAGTGTGCAGGCTGCAGCTTGTCAGTCTAGCACACACCTCCAAGTTCTTTACCATCCCAAAGTTCCTACATTCACACTCAGCCAAAAAAGCAGCACACTGAGGATTCCTAGCTTAGGAGAGGCAGCGCTAAAACTCCCGTTTAATGTGAGTAGCCCTTTAATTTTATCAGTTTTATAAATCTATGTGAGAAACCACTTCATCTGGAAAGCACAGGATGTTGATGCATAGCTGCGTGTGCTTAGTTTTTCCTGCTTTGCACACTGAAAGTTAGGAGAACTGGGTAGATTTTTTAAAGAAGTGGCTAATTCGTAACTGTTATCAGGGAGAGTTAACCTTCTGCAGTTTCAGAGAGGACACTGTAAGAGGGGGACGCTCACTGGGAATAGAAGACTCGCTTTTACAAAGAAAACAGAAAGAGAATAACAAAATTACAGTTTTTTTTTTCCAAACTGACTGGGAAAAAGGGTTTGCTCTTATATTTGCATAAATAAATTGTGTTTGTGTTATGTTAATGTTAATGCATGACTGATTTAAGCTGGTCACTGCACAGAAATGCCAGCTGAAACTGAGCGAGGCACTGTTGTTGCTTGCGGGAGTCTTCAAATAGTTTTGAAACTGGCCTGGTTTGAGTTAAAGTTGTTTCTCTCTTCTGTTGCACAGCTGTGAGTCTTTAGAAACTTAGGCATGCAGATTGTGAGGGTGACAGTTGATTATCTGTGTGGAAGTACGGCTCCAATAAATTTTGTGTTGCAATAGTGCAATCTGTGTAAATCAGTAAATGGGTAAAGAAACGTCTTAGATTTAGTTGTAAAACCTACAAATCCCACATCTTGAAATGTTCAAATCTTTGTACTCATTTAGGAGAGCAAAAATACAAAATAAATAAAAATAAAAATTCATGAATTTTAATTAAATGTATATTTACAGTCACATACAATATTTATCATTTTGGTTATTTTCCCCATCATATTTTTCTCTCATTAATTCTAGCGCCCACTCAGAGAGAAAATGCAAAATCGACAATCAAATGACTCAATCTCTGCTGAGTAACTTTGATCGTTGCTCTGCATGATTTGTTCTGAACTGTGCTGCTGAATCAGAACGAGATGAGCATCCTACGACGATGACACACTTCCTGCGTTTCCTTGCCCTCTGAATAACGCCTGCATATTAAAGTGAACTCACTTGTAACCAGTCGAAATCTTCCCCGTCAGGTGCTGTCACAATCAACATGGCCTACTCTCACATCAACATGACCAACAGCTCCAACTCCAGCAGCCCCTTCTGTCGATTTAACGAAGACTTTAAATTCATCCTCCTTCCCGTCAGCTACGCCCTGGTTTTCGTCATTGGTCTGGCGTTGAACGCCACAGCTCTGTTTGTGATGGTGTTCCGGACGAAGCGATGGAAGCCTTCCACCATTTACATGTTCAACCTGACGATGTGTGACACACTCTACATCTTCACTCTTCCCTTCCTCATCTTCTACTATGCCGACGAGAACGATTGGCCCTTCAGCGAGCCGGTCTGCAAGCTGATACGCTTCCTGTTTTATGCCAACTTGTATGGTATGGCACGGGCCAAGTCGCACACACACACACACACATCTGTGATACAGCACACACTGTGTATCGCATCTGAAATGTGATGCACAGAGGAAGTGGTAGAGCAAAGGAAAATCATGTCATATTTGCCATTTGGCCATAATATGATATATTACTGGCAAATATCACGACTATATAATGATATGTGTTGGCACAGCATATAATCAACAAGAAGACATGGTGAAAGCTTAGCAGTATCTCAATGGCTTGTTACTGAAGAATCCACAAATCACTACTTAATGTTTTTTTGACAGACACATTTGTGCA